TTTGATATTGTAGAGGAATAGGTGTTTTTTGGTGTCGACAAAATAATAAATTGCTCAACACTTTGTTCAAGAGGAAAACTATAAGTTCTTATCTCAAAATCATAAACATATAGTTCTACAGGGGTATCCCTGTCTAACTAGTCTTGTTAGATGGGTAAATACCAGTAGAATACATGATTGTTTTGGGGAAAGATGCTTTAGGTTTGAAGTGAAGCTACTTTGAATAGATACCAATTATTGTTTACTTTTTTGTGAATCTTTTGCTCAATAACTGCCCCTACTGTAATTTTGTTTGCATGTTTGGAAAGACTGGACAATTTACTTTCAGAAAATGTTTACTTTTCATATTCTAGCATGTTTAGTTTGCAAGTTACTGAGTTTAAGTTAAAAAGGATGCGTGATACCTGAAATTTAAATGCAAAGAGACTTTTAATAGTTCAAAACACACTGTGACATGGCCATATTATAAGTTATGTTTGCCTTAAAGTTATATTTTGGTTGTTCCTGGATAATTTCTACAAGCTTATTGGGTAATTGGCCAGCTCAGTTGAACCTTATTATAAAAGGCAATTTCTGAAGACCACTGAGAACCGAAATCTAGCTAGTTACATTCTTGGCAAGTATTGTTGAAGTTATAACCAGTATGACCTTTTTATTCAGCAGGAAACTTAATCTTCACAATTGAAACTGCCATTTTATGTTCGCTATATAGCATATACTGTAGACCAGGAGTCTTCCATTAAATTTGACATTTATTAGTGTATTATGGTTATGTTTTTGTTGCAGGAAGGCCACTTTGATGTTTTAGTAATAAGTGTCGACTCCTGAATGTTTCTTTTTGAGAGAAAATAAATAAGATGGCATGTATTTATCCATTCTAGTTATTTTGCTTTAACTGATTGTGATCATTTATTTTGTCTCGTTTCACACCCTCCTATTTATTTATTTATTTATTCATGTTTTCTTTATAAAAGCAGGGTAGTCCCATTCAAGCCGCAAGGCCTGCTTTACAAGGGAGCCCTGCTGTAACAAACAATAATTACATTTCAAATATCTTACAAATGAATACACATAAAAAATACACAAAATATACAATAAAAAACAAAACATAATATAAACAAACTATTAAACATTTCATACAAATATATAGGAAATTAGATGAAAATGGAAGAGGAGAGAGAGTAAACGAAAGAGAGAAAGAGAGAGAGGGTGGTAGGAATATTTCATGATCGCAAAATTAACTCACTTGAATTTCACGGAGATTTCGTTAAAAAATGGGTACCGGTAGTGAGGCGGAACATTTGGTAATTATGGGTAGTGAGTTGAATAGCTTTGCTGCTGTGTACGAAAAGGTCTGTTTTTTTAAATCGGTTCTGGGTTTGGCAAGGTACAATTGATGCATTGAAACTGATCTCGTGGGATACGGGTTAGCACTTTGAGGTAGAGCATGTTTTAGATAAACAGGAGCAAGATTATTCAGGATTTTATACATAAGTACTTGATAATTGTATTCCAATCTCTGACGGATTGCAACTTTAAAGAATTTAACATAGATTGTACAGGCGTATAATAATCTACATCTTATGACTCATCACATCATATGTAATCGACTCATTTCATATCCATTCTGAGTCTCTTGACTCACTTCATGTTTGAAATGTTTCACTATACGGACACAATTAATGACTCATTCAAGTGACATAAATTGAGTCATGTGACTCATCAGGAAAATTCTAGCAAGTCATGAAGACTCACTTGAAGTGAGTCTTAGATAAATAAGACTCATTTGTATCGAGTCATAGTGACTCACATGATCCTTCAAGTGTTTCGCTGTACGGACAAACCAGTGACTCATCAATTTGAGTAAGGGTGACTCACTTTTTGTTGTGGGTGTAATAATTTAATGAAACGCCAAAACTTCCGCGTTTCGCGGAAACGCGGGTGGGGGAGAAACTGAATTCAGACAAGGATTAACAGTCGAGAAAGGTACAATAAATCGTCTTCTTTTCCTAATAATTTAGAGGCCTATCACCCACACCCCTAATGAGCGCTCTCAAGTGATTCGCTTGCTCACTACCGCCTTCCCTAAAATAAGATCCTAGCTCCGCGCCTGCATTAAAATCAGCTATGATGCTGACTAAGTTGACGAAATAATTCGTATATTTATGTCGTCGAGGAAAATGACCATTTGCGCATATGCAAGTACTATAGATAATCCATATAGGAAAAACAATTTAGCCTTCGGCCCCGGGTTTATAGGATTAAATTTGGTAGATATTGGACATTTAATTTTGTCGGTAATTGGTCGCTAGTTTTGTCGGTTATCCGTGGCCTATACACCCCCCCCCCCCCCACTGAAAAAGGTCTAGCGACGCCCCTGCCCCCATCTCCTTCTTTTTCCGCTATTTCTTTTCTTCTTCCTCTTCTTTCTTTCCCTTTCCCCTCTTCTCCCTCTCTCTCTCTCTCTTTGTCTCTCTCTTTGTCTCTCTTTGTCTCTCTTGGTTTGCGGGGGGAGGCAAGGCCCCCCCCCCCTGGATCCGCGCCTGCCTGCATGAGCCTAACAATTGCGATTAGATCTATATCAAATACATTTATTCTTTTTTCAGTCACTCGGTCGATGTTTTTTTTTTATAAAATGGATCATTTGACCTTGGAAGGGTGTGCGCCATAAAGGGGAGATTTTATTTTTAGGATTTTAGGAAAACATGAGAACTTTCAGTCAAATGACCATAGAGGCAATAAACCTGCACATCCTGATTGATTGACATTACATTTAAATTCAGATTAGATTTATTTTTCCACTCAGACGATGACAAAGGCATATAAAGTTACGCAGTAATGGCGCGCTTTTTATCCTTATCGTATACCCCCGGCCCCCCACTCCGAGAACGGACGGACCCCATGCGTGTTGCCAAAATGTCCTTTTCGTAACAAAAGAAAAAGGTCGACCCGTATTGACTTTACACACCGGACTTTTGCGGGGGGGGGGGGGGGGTCGGTTGGAACACGCATATGCGTACCCTAAATAACACTGAGTGGGGGGGGGGGGGCGGGCGTATACCACGACCGAACGATGTGGCCGCGAATTGTGAGAGAAAGGGGGACGGGTCGGGAGAGAGAGAGAGAGAGAGAGAGGAGGAAGTTGGAGAGAGGGGAGGGAGTTGGAGAGAGGGGAGGGAGAGAGATAGAGGGGGAGAGAGAGACTGAGAGAGAGAAGGGGGCAAAGTGAGTAAAAGGAAGATAAGCGGACACTTTTTTTTTCGTTGGGGGGGGGGGTATAATTTTTTTTTTTTTTTTTTTTAATTTAAAAAAAAAAAAAAAAAAAAAGGGGGGGGGGGGGTTTAGTTTTTTTTAGGGGGGTTTACACACATAAAAATACCAAAGGGGGGATTTGAACCCCAAACCCCCCCCCCCTGCGTACGCCCCTGATGCTTTCAATAAGTAAAACACTGTCCATCAATGTTTTCATGTTGTAAAGTTGTTTACACACAGGAAATGGATAGAATGGGACAAAGAGAGTAAATAAAACGAGGAAATTATAATCGAAAATATAAAAAACTTTTTAAACCTGGTAATGAATTATTTAATGGTATACTTTACATGATTTCTCTGAAGTATTTTTCATTTATGAGCTGTTTATACTAATAATATCGGCTGATTTTGTAAGTTATAGCAGATCATTGAGTTAATAAGGCTCTTTTTTTTGTAAAATGAATTTATTGATAAATATATGCATATGAACAAATCAAACAATCATACACAATCGATTGAAATAACCTTGTATAGCATCTGAACAGTTCAAATAAAACATGTTTCGTTTTCTTGAATAACAGTGTTTTAAAAAATGCTTAGCGCGATCGAAACTCAGACAAAATTCTGAATTAGCTCAGCACTTTCTTTTGCTTGCTGTTTGGGACTTCCTTCTTTTTTTCTTCTTCCTCATTTTTCCTTCCCTTTATCTCCTCTTTTCCTTTTCTTTTCTTTCCCTTTCCTTCCTGGGAGGCCTTTCGGCCGCCCCCCCCCCCCCCCCCGATATCCTTCTTTCCCTTTACTTTTCTTCTTCCTCTTCTTTCTTTCCTTTTCTCTCCTCTTTCCCTCTTTCCCTTCTTTTCCTTCTCTCTCTCTCTCTCTCTCTCTCTTTTTTGCGGGGGGGGGGGGGGGGGGGGGGGGGGGGGGCAAGGCCCAAATAAGACATGTTCTCGTGTCCATTTTCGACCGTATTTATGTAGGTTTTAAGTTACATGTAGCATAAGATTTTTCTGTTCTCATCTTTAAAAATGTACTTTATAGATATATATTTTGATGTTTTATGGAATTATGCCTTGCAAAGACAAAGAGTGGGGGTTTCCGTTATTAATAAATTCTTAAATTAATTAATTAATTAATTAATTAATTTATTTCGTTTTATCTCAACAGGGTAGCCCCATCCGATACTTGGGGGCCCTGCATACTGCATAAAATACATATAAAGACATACATGAACGCATCATTACATGCAGTGATTAGTAAACATACCAGAAAGAATACAGATTAAATCTCAAATATAAATTTAAACTCAGCAAGTAAACAAAAAATCCAGAAAAATCAAGTCATTTAAGAAAAATCATACATAACCAAATTTTGAGGAAGGAAACATATTAGGGTCTATATTGTAGTGACAGTGTCTAAGCATAATTTAATTGTAATTTGTAGGATATCCTCACAATTAGGATGTTCATATAGACCCTATATTCAAAAGAGTTTTCCATCAGAATGGATCAATGCCTTCATAATAGGCATAACTGTTTTATTATATTTATTTACCCCCGACCGCCGATCCGAATTTTTGATATCGATATTTAGATTTAGATTAAGATTTAGATTTTATTTATCGCTGATCAACTGTCTCGATTAGCATGCTGAGCTAGCTATAGCCATTCGTTGGCTATAGCGCTAGCGCTGCGCGCACGTCGCGCGCACGTCGCGACCGTCCATCCTATATTACAGCGCGGGCAGCTGATAGACGTAATAGATCACAGTATGTGCGCTCGTCGAGCGTCATCGCATCGCATCACAGATCATAGATATTTTCATGGTGACTCGATAAACTTGACTGAGATTTTAGAACTTGACGACGGTACCATATGCACATGCGCCCGTGGACTTCGCTTCGCAAGCCGGGGAATCAGTTTGCTGCAAATCATTATCATTTCCATATTTTCATTCTTCACTTGTGACTCTGTGACTACGAGCTGCAGGACTCCAGGAGGCTTCTGCAAACGGTCGTGTTTCTTTGGTCCGGTGGTGCCGGGGGAAACGACAGTGGTGTAGACTGTAGGCCTAGGCCTATCGGAAACGGGTCAGAGCACTAGAGCCTACAGCATCAGCACGAGAATACACCCGACGCGACGGTGGCCTGTAGGCTAGCCTCTACTCTAGGTAGATCTGCATAAATACACAAAATAGAGAAATAAAACATTCATGTTGAATGTTGATAGGGTCTACTGAAGTGATGGCGATGGTGATAAAATACTGATGATAGTCTGAGCTGAGTGATATCTAGATCTAGACTAGATCTAATCATCTAGATCTACTCTAGATCTAGATTTAGTCAATCATGACAATGATGACAAAAATGTTGTTGACATCAAATAGAGCAGCTGACTGAGCTAGACTAGAGTAGAGTAAACAAAATGGCGGCATCCATTGACTCACTTAAGTTTGATTCACTTAAAGTTAAAGAGGAAATAACAGTAACAGATGTAGGCCTATTGATGTCTGATGAGGAATTAACATCAAGGAACTCTGCCGCCGAAGGAGATAATGAAGAATGTGAAGAAGAGGATGACAAGTTGCAGGGCTGGATCAGTTGTGAATCTAGATCTAGCAACAACTATAATACCAAAAGGCAGATAAAATATTCACTGTCTTTATTTGAGGAATTTAGCAAACGGGAGAATGTAAACTTTGAAGATATTGACAACAAAGCTTTGGATGTTCTTCTTTCAAATTTCTACAAAGCTGCTCGGAACAAGAAGGGAGACTTGTATTCATTAAAGTCTATGCAATCCATTCGATTTGGCCTGCAACGTTACTTTTTGGAATCACGTGGCATTAACATTACCAAGACAAATGAATTTTCTTTGTCTTACAAAACCTTTGGGGCAGTGATTCGTAAGCTTAGAAGGCCTGGTAAAGATGAAGTGAGGCGTCATCCCCAAATCACAGTAGACGACATGGCACGAATGCAGGCGAGTTTGGATTTGAGCACTCCCCAAGGCTTACAGCATAAAGTATTTCTGGATATTGTCCTGTACTTTGGCATAAAGATCCCAACCCTACGTACTACAAGACCAGGAGACTTTGTTTTACATCAGGAGAAAAATCAACTTTTCTACACATTTCTAGAGAATCAGAAAGCACAAATGCATGCCATGCCTGGCAATCCTCGATGCCCTGTCGCAAACCTGAAAAGATACATCTCAAAGCTCAATTCCAATTGTGGATGGATGTGGCAGAGGCCAACGCAGCGTTTCTTAGAGGATCACTGCATTTGGTACGAGAATTCACCCCTTGGAAAACGTACATTGTCCTTAATGACGAGGACAATCAGTGATTTGGCTGGTTGCAACAAAGGACATAACCACCACTCGCTGAGGACAATGAGGACAGAGAAAATGTTGGAGGCGTTGTCAAGTAACGACAGCACCAGTCAAAACAGAGATTATGCCATCACAGTGATCACACTCCCGCGTTCAACATCTAACAGCGTTTTTGCTCAGATCAACAAAACGATTACTGCCGGTCCCAGAGTACCTGTTGCTGCCCCTATTACAGACTCCTCCATGAACATCATTAAGGTGAGAAGTGAGCAATCAACATGTTCAGTAAAAAGAACTTGTTAATAATTTAGGTTCCATGTCAGGTCGCCCGATGTCAGCCCGCCCCCTTTCAAAGGTCACCCTCAATTGGTCATGTCGCCCCCAATTTTTTTGGCGATTTTGGGATTCTTGGTCAGCTCGCCCTTACCCTAACTCTAACCCTAACCCTAACCCTAGGACACCGGGTCCTGCGTTACCCTAGGACACCGGGCCCCGCGTTTCCCTGTAGGACACCGGGTCCCAATGACAATGATAATGACAATTATTCTCATTGGAGTATTGGACAAGTTTACAATCAGTTTGAATTTTTCAATTTAACACTGTAAAATATACAATACAAATCACATTGGGCGCAGTGCTGCGCTAGCGCGTGTGCTGCCTTTGTATGTAGGGGCCACTGTGTATAGGAGGCGACCCGACCACACAATTTGGGGGCGACCACGTAAGGAGGCGACTGTGTAAAGGAGGCGACCAGCTTGGGGGCGACCTGACAAGACACCATAATTTACATGTATTCGATTTTAAGGAACCTAACATCATAGGGTGACAAAAGGCAGTTATTGTGAACAAATGATGATTAAAAATAATAAGTCTTGAAAAAGACATGAAAAACAACCAGTTATGGCAAATAATTTCTGTATAAGAAATACATGTGTTACACCAAGCTTAAATATTTGTAACCTTTTAGTATGAGCCATCATTTTAAAAGAAGGTAAACAGATCATTTTCATTCCAAGTTATCTCAGCTTCCTTTTTTGGGTTGGTAGATTTTGATTGATTTTCTTTTATTTTACATTGTGTGTACAAACTTCTATTATCCTTTCCTTCCAAGAAGTCTCCAAGTGTGACTGCTTCTTCAAGTGACAAGGCAACCCATCTACAAACAATGCAGCAGAACACCAGTGTCACTTCAAAATCAAATACAGGTGTCAACGAAGGTATGAAACTCCTTTCTTTTTTATCTTGAAATCTATACATTTATTGTCAATTGGTCATTGATTTGGATGAACTACAGCGCAGAGAGACATATTGTGACATATATGCGCTATATAAATAAGGTATATTATTATTATTAACTGTGTTTTTCTTGTGTATCTAGGTCGAAGACACAATTTTCTCTGCTGATGGCATTGTTAAGCATATTTTAAAGTTTAAAGCACCACTGTCCTACTTGTATCTACTTGCTCCCTCTATATAGAAAACTTCCCCAATCGGTGCCTGTTGGTCCCCCATGATCCTCTTTTTCTTATGTTAGTTGATACTTGAGAGCTGAGTTAATGAGATAGCCACCTGTCAGCGACCTCGCTGTGTGGTCTAATCCCTTCTGGCCCAGTAGTATTGATGGTCTTTAAACCATTCTGTAGTATATTAAATGCTAAAATCGCTTGAAAATTGTATATTTTGTTGGAATTAGTATGAATTGGGATTTAAGGGCTGACCTCAATTTTCTAACTATTTGCAGTTTCAGGCAATAACCATTTTACCACACATACATGTAGGTGCATTACTATCCTGGCTCTGCATTAAGTTACATACATGTTGTAGGGATTTCATCTAGTGATGACATTCTCTCCATTTCTTCCCGTTCTGAACATTCCTCCTCATCATTCAGAGCAACCTTATTATACTCTTTTTTTTAGTCTTTACTACATGTACATGTATATCCTTCCACAACATCTTTGGTCTTCCTCTTCTTCTCAATATTGATTTACTGGTCGAGGTTCATTATTTGCTTGTCTTTTGGGATCACCAGATTCCAGAGGATGCATGCTTTTTACAAAGAAAAACTTCTCCGTTTCAGTCCTTGCGCGATCGCTTCTAGGTCCAGCAGATACGGGGTGGCAGTGTGCACACTGATACTACCGGCGCAGTATAGCTGCTGCTGACGGTCGCACTGCACTGTGAACTTCCGTTGTTTGTATCGGTAATACAGTCATAGAAATGTGAAGATGGGAGATATAGCGCCATCTTGTGGAGAATATATAAGCGTAGTAGCGTACATTTTTCAACAATATGGCGGCCTCCAGACACCAACAAAACTTGAGCGAGAAATCCTGCTCGCTAATCTAACGTCTATAGTTCCATTTTATTGGTTTAAGGTTTGAAAGATGAAACTCAATATTGTGTCAAAGTTATAACAGAAAAAATAATCTTTATTTTATAATTCCACGGGGGTGATTTTTAATTTTTCAATTGCCCCCGTGAGCAATCTGACGGGCGATTATGTAGCTCACGGGGGCAAACCGCCCGTCGCCCCCGTGTATTTTGAGCCTTGCCTGGGTGAGAGAAGTGATACAAATATTGTAAGTACTGTATAAGCTGATGCATGTGCCTGGTACATGCATACTACAGAAATAATGAAAAGTAAAAAAAATTGTTTCGTTTTGTAAACATTTCAATGGTAGGTACGATGACAGAGCTGACTTGGATTGAATTACCGAGAAAGCTAGTACAATCCAAGGATGCCTCCACTCAGTGGGAGAAGCAGCCACCTACTCACTCCACTCAGGCTGCTTCTACCTCTTCTACACAAGATCTTGATAAACCATCATGTGGTGATGACGGTGAATTAGAACAGGATGGTCTTGGTTGGTGCTCAGAGGACACCCCTGCAGTGCAAGAGGATGAGTTCATGGATTCCAGTGAACCTTCTGATGTGTACGTATTATAGGAGTCGGTTTAATATCAATTGAAATTAGATATCTTCCTCTTCCTTTTGAGTACAGACCTCTTTTACAGAGTATTATCGTACTATACTAGCGGTGTGTGCAGGTGGATCACCAGAAAGGGAAAAAAATACATGGGGCTCGGGGCGAATTAGCCCCCGAAAGTCATAAAAGAGCCCCCCCCAAATTCGCATAGAGTTCAACGCAAAACAAATTAAAGAGTGTTATTTTCATGCAAGCAAGCTTGAAAAGTAGCCCCCAAAATATTTAAAGTATTTTTTTTCCTGTGGACCACTACACCGGGGTTTTCCCCTACTCTTATACAAATAATGCAGTGGGTTCTTAACGTGCAAAGGTAGTGACTCTTCTCTACAGGGGCCTCCATTTAGCGTCCTTTTCGAGGGATGGAGTCATGGGTGTCGATCCGTAACTGATACCTATTCATCAGGGGGGGATGATCTATTCATTCATCCCCCCCCCCTGATGAATAGGTATTACGTAAGGATCGACACCCATGGATGGAGTGTTTTCCACTTGACAAAACCTGCGTCTATAAACAAGGGAAGGGGTACGTTAACACACAACGCAGGCTTCAGTCATCCGCCTGGGTGGGAATCGAACCCGGGATCTTTGGTTCAACAGACGGACTCTTTACCGACTGAGCCAACTCGCCTAACGTGAATGGTTGCAAAGTTATCTCCAGACTCATTATATAATCTTGAACAGTTTTAGTTTCATTTGTTTTACCAAGACACCAAACTTAAACATTACAAAGTTGTACACGTTTGACACAAGATTTGATGGTTGCATATAAGAAATGAGCTAGAATTGCATGTAATCTTTGAGGTATCTTACAAGCTTCTACAGTTCTACTTCTTTATTTTCTTTGCAGACATATTGATGGGTCAATCATTGTAGCTGGGTCTAGAGGCCATGTGGAGGAAACCACTGTGGTTGAATCTCAGGTAAGTTTGTACTGCTGAAAAGTACATCGTAATGCACAATGTACTGGTAGACTAGTGAAATGTATGAAAATGTATATAGATCCAATTGAAGATAATATTTAGCACTCATTATTCTTTTTTATTGCAAAATAAACTGTCAAGAAATAAAAACCTGAATGGTTGATTGTATCAGGAACAAGCATGAAATAAAATCATTTTTGAATCAAAATTTACTTATCTTGCTGACTATTTAACAATTTAAAACATTGGACAGATATGGGTACAGGGAACTACAAAAATACTGTATGTGGATTCGAGAATGTGATCCAAGTTGTCAACTATTTCTAGTCATATTTGAAATGGAGGATCATTTCAAGGGTCATCTTTTTTATAGGATACTATTTCTAAGAATTTCTACTACAATAGTTTGAAAGGAATGAAAAAAAAAAGAAGAAATATCACAGCGATGCACAGCAGTGGGAGCCTTTAAAAAAAAAGTAGAACAACCTGTTAATAAAGACTAGCAGGACCCGTGGAAAATCCACGGGATTCTAGGGGGAGGGCAGGGGAGGGGGGGGGGGGGGTAAATAGAAAGAGGCCTAGACCCTATGTGCTATCGAAAATAAAATTTGATTATTTTTATATAAGGTCTAGGCCTACATGTAGAATCTAGACGATTTTTATAACGCTGTTTGACCATGAATGGCGCACCGTAATACCCGTTTTAATGCATTGATTTGATGAAGGAACTGTTTCATAGTATAAGTATTCTATCCAGCTATAGTCAATGCCAATGGCTATGTTTTTAAACGACTGTCTGATTTTCTTGTGAATACTTTACTTTGAAAAATGATTATCGAAATTTAGCATACAACTATACATGGACAGAATAATCACAATCTAAGCTCAGGTTTCATACCTCTATAGTCACGAAACTATATTGAAATAGGGGCAATAAGAGCAATTTCAAAATGGTGTCGAGTCTACTCTATAATAGCTCAGCTCAGCTCACCTCACCTCACACACAGTCACAGTTCCGACAGTGCTCGGCAGCAGTGGCGCACTGCACTGCCCGTGCCTCACGGCAGCTAGCTTGCAACTGAACTGTCAGTTACGATGAATTTCTTGTGAAAACTTTACTTTGAAGAATGATTTTCAAAATTCAGTAAACATGAACAGGATAATACCAAAGTAACCCTGCTTGCATACCTCTATTCACGTAAACTATATATAAATCACGGCAATCATCATAGAATCAAAGACGAAGAGACTGAGCTGTGCGTGTGACGGTGAGCGTAGAATCATCGCATACATTCTACACGTACGTTCGTACACGCAGCAGGTCCGGCTGGCCTACAAAGCATATCATATAAAAAGACGCATAACACGGGTAAGCCCAACCCGTGAGAGCGTGCATTTTTTTACATCCCCTCACCCGGGTGAGTCATCTGTTAATGTGTATTTCTCTTACATGCTACAAAGCGTATCCTATAGCAAGAGGCCTAAACTCGGGTAAGCCACACCCGTTACTACGTGATGTGCTACACCCATTGGCAGAAGTGGATTCTCGTCCGCTGTGTGTCTCTTTGTTGATTGCACAAAGGGCGGATGCACGCCTTCCCGACTCGCTCTCACAGGTTCGACGCCTCCTTGCAATCCACGACGCCCGCCGTGCTCTGGTCCGCCCGTCCTCCCCGGAACCCCGAAAACGCGTTTAACGGCATGGACGTCGATCGCGGGGTCGACGTGGCACGCGGGTTACGGGAGACAGGCCTCGTGTAATTGTGCCGCCGTCCCCGCGCCCCGGCGGAGGCGGGCGCGGTCGGGGAAAGACGTTTTTGAGGAACCGTTTTGGCCCGTGTTGGACCCCCCGCGGCGATTTTGCGTATTAATAATATAGATAATACAAAGTTTGGGCAATTTCTGAAAATGAGAGGGATAGTGATTCTTTTTATTTTTGATATATTTGGATGCCCCTGTGGATGTTTTATAAGCCCTAGAAATTTAGCCCCTGAAACACTAATGCTTTTGTCTAAAATGGCCGTACAATGGTAGCTGCGACCATGAAAATATCAGAATATGTAGTTGTGAAATATAGTTTCCAAATGGAAATGGCTAATCAGTCGATTTTAGTCAAGAAACATTGTTTGATAGCTTAGTTAAAACTTGACCTTGAGAGGGAGCTATACAATGTAAAGAGTGTATTATTTACAATTTCAAACTTTAGACTTGATTTCAAACGCGACAACGATCACTGAATATTGAAGGATTGCATATGCTTCCAATATGTTCATGTGAACCAAATTCATGACCCCGGATAACCTTTAAACTTTGTACCATGCAGGAAGGAAAACAAAGCAAAACACCCATCCTGAGAAGAATGATTGACGAGCTGATTGACGAAGAAGTAGATTACCAGACCGTATATGTGAAGGAAGAATACTTTGAAGATGAATGTCAAGATGATGATTATGCACATGTGCATTTGACACCAGGTAAAGCCTCTCATAAACACAAGGTGGTTGTACAATACATGCTCTGCGGTCATTTCCTGTACACAAACTGAATGCCTAGTAGCTAGACCCAGCACCATACAGAACAATAACTCTGAACCTAACCTAACCTAAAATCCTGATAAAATCGTAAACCTGACCCTACACCTGTAAGGCTGGGATGGATTAACGCCTGGAGCAAATGTTGAATTACCGATGTGGGCATCTGCCTCAAAAAAGATGCCATGGCAAAGTTAACCAATAAAGTTGTAATTCAATAGCAGGTGGGTTGTTTCAAGAATAGCTGCTCTCTTCAAAGGCCCCTAAAAAGTGTACCTACTTGTTTAGCTGTGTGGCATAAGATACATGTATGCTTGTTATTTTATTTTACCAAAGCAGTTTTATGCATCAGTTTACCATGTTATACTTGCTGTGAATGATACTAAATGGAACCACCACAGTTGAGTCATGAACTCACCAGAGTAATAATGACGTTAATTGTATGTTTCTTTTCTTGTAAATGTACATGGTGTATATATATTTTTGTACTGACAATTTATCCTTGTTGTTGGGTTCAGTTATTATTAAGCACTTGCAATGCACAATCTCCACTTTATTTCCATTTCTTTTAGAGGTAAATAAGTTATATTTTATTTCTCTATCCTTTTAGGTGGACATCCAAGATTGGACGCTGAAAGTCCAAGATCAACCCAGCAAACCAACAGCGACAGAGCTCCAAGGCAAAATGGTGGACCATGTATCGGATCAAAAGTAAATATTCAAATGTTGGAAATTATGTTTTAAGTTTTCCCTAAGGATGTTCCGCAGTAACGTTTGTGGGCACCTTCGCTGCGCATGTATTTACAGGAACTCCAGGCATTGTGTATGGTGAATACATAATCAGCTGCCATTTGACAGCTTACATGTAAGTGCACATGAACACTACTACAGAATGTCTGTCAAAGCTAAACATAAGGTTGAGTTCTGGTAATGGTGCCCTTTTGCAGCTAAAGTGCACATGAACACTACTACAGAATGTCCGTAAAAGCTAAACATAAGGTTGAGTTCTGGTATGGTGCAAAAAACATGGAAACAGTTTCTGTTCAAATTCACAACAAATTTGAAAGAAATTGTGTAATTGCAGAGAAAAAATAAACATTGATTTCTTCAATAGTCGGGTCGTCTTCAAAAAAATGTTTAAACCTCCTGTTTTGCTGTTTTGGCTCCCTCTATCGTCAAGAACCCGATATAATCCTCTCTGTAGGCAATTCATTCACTCTGAAAAAGCCAATCAATGCTTTATACGTGCAAGCTTACGCTCAAAACGATGTTGGAGAGGAGCATGACGAGTTTCAATAAATTTTTCAATAAATCAATGCATACACTCATTTTTAAGCCTCCCCTACAAAGTAGCAGGAGGCAATATGTTTTCGGGCTGTCTGTCTGTACGTCCCATACTCGATTGCATTATCTCAAGAACCGATTGGTGGATTCCCGCCAAACTTAAGTCATGTATGTATCTTGCAGAGCCAATGAACTGATTAGATTTTGGGGGTTAATGAGGTCAAAGGTCATGGGGCTCATGTACATGTATGCAAAAAATAGCTTGTGAACGCATTGTCAATAGAACTGACGGATGGATTACTAGTAAACTCAGGACATGTATGTATCTTGCAGAGTCAATAAATTGATTAGGTTTGAGGGTCATGACGTCAAAGATCAAGGGGTCATACACATGTATATGAAAAATTGCTTGTAATCACGATATTCTGAGAACCCATTAATGGATTACGATCAATCTTGAATTTCAAAAATTGCTTCCGTTTTGGTTTGTAAAATGGCTCAATGGCGGAGGCATCATTTTTGACTGCGCGCAGTCGAAGGTCCATCTAGTTTATTATCAACATACTCCAATGCATAAATAAGCAGCTACATACTAGTAGCTTCTTGTGGAATAGAGTACATGCACAACCAAGGAGTTACCAGCACTACCTGAAATTGCACAGTCTAGATTCCCCCTTCCGCGACAAAAGACGGACAAGTGTGCAATCTCTGATTTTTTAGTTTCTTATCTTTTTTTTATTTCCAAAGGAGGCAATAATGGCAGAAGCGACTCTTCCTAGATTTGAACTTCGTCATGATGATCAATTACAAGACTTGATTGGTTCTGAGAGCAGCAAGAACACCAAAAAATCCGTGAAATTTTCTGTAAAAATATTCGAAGACTACCTGCAGATTATCAACACAGACCTCAATAGTGTAAACAAACTGCCAAACTTGGAGCTGGACAAGGTACTCCAAAGGTTTTACGCTGGTGCTAGACAGAAGAACGGTTCTCTATACACCAAAAAGTCAATGCAATCTATTAGATACGGACTTCAGCGTTTTTTCCTCATTTCTAAAAATGTGGACATTGGTAAGCATGAAGACTTTACAAATTCGAAGTCAGTTTTCAAGCAATTTTTTTTGCTTAAAGGACAGGGAGTTGTCAATCACAAACCCGCTATCTCACAAGAAGACATGGACAAAATCCAAGGTTCGCTTGATCTAGATGATCCTCAAGGTCTTCAGGACAAGGTCTTTATTGATGTTATGTTGTATTTTTGCATTCTTGGGAGGGAGAATATACGTGATATGACACTTGACAGCTTTGAAATTTGTGAGGAAGCCTTAGGGGGGAAATGCTACATAACTCTCAAAGATACACTCACAAGGAACAGCCGTGCTGATAAACTAGGTGGCGTCATGACTCCAACAAATGGTCCACGATGTCCTGTTGCCTCCTTCTTACGCTACAAAGATAAATTGAACCCCAAATGTAAGTGGTTTTGGCAGAGACCAGCACAGCACAAGCGTGAGTTCAATCCATCTTGTTCTGGTCCATGGTACCGTAATGTACCCCTAGGGATAAACTCCATCGGAGAAAAGATGAAAACAATTTCATCCAGTGCAGGTACCAAGGCTTACACCAACCATTGCCTAAGGGCAACCAGCATCAGTACCCTACAAAATGCAAGGTTCTGATGGAGATCATGAGTGAGTATGGACATCTCTCAGAAAGCAGTCTCGGCCACTATGCATTAACCAGCAGTGAAACAAAAGAGAACACAAGTTGTGCTATCGTAGGGGGTTAAAGAACACTCTATTTTAATTTCATGTTTAAAAAGGGTAAAATTAACGTTACCATCTTTTTTTGGGGGGGGGGGGGTGGGGGAAGGGAGAAGGGGCCCCCCGTGGATCTGCACCTGCCAGCCATATCCTAATGATATGGTTCTACAATATATTTTTTGATTTTCAGTAAGTATGCATTTGGTGTTTAAGATGCGTCACTGCGCACTTCTACTTTTTGCTACGCTTAGTAAAGAGGTGAAAGTATTCTTTTTAAAAGGGGATATGAAAATTTGCCATGGTGCCTCCATTAAATAATTAAGTAATTTTAAATTAAATAAATTGGTATTTGGGAATGTGATAGATACCAAGTGTTTTTGTTCACGAGTTTTAGGCATTAAAAAAACCCTGTTACACGATCCCATTTAATTTGATTTCACTTTATCGATTGAAATCAAAACATAAAGGAGTATCAATTTTCAATTGAGATTTAATACAATTCAAATATTATTGTTGAAAAGTTATCTAAATTACTGTGACAAAAGTGAAAAATCAAAAAAGAAATTCATTAATGTAGGATATGTTTATCAGTGGCAGATCCAGGATTATTAAAAGAAGAAAGGGGTGTAAATGTGCAACAGTTATCCATTTATGCCTCTTCCTCCCCCACCTGGCTCTGCCTCTATGTGTCTGTTCCTTGGCATTGTTCAGCCACTATTTTGATTGTTTTCTTGTAATCATCATTGTTGTACATTGTTGTACTCGTACACCTTTTCATTCTAGAGTTTACCTACCTGTAGGAGATGAAAGTAAAAGGATTACTTTGTATCTTCCCCTGGAATATACACAGGGAGATACAATTGAAATTAAAGTATGGAATCAGCAATTAGGCCCTAACCCTAAATGTTAGTAAAATGTTGTAAAGTTCTCTGATTCCGGTTGTATCTACCTCTTCTTGTGAGCTTACCTGTAAACATATTGGCATTTAAATGGTTACTACAAGGTGTAAACACTGAACCCTTTATTCATTTGTAATACAAATTAATATGTTGTTAAATTGCGTTATTAAAAAAAGAGACTTTTGATGATCTTGTTATAGTCAGCATGTCACACATAACACAGTATTGGTTAGAGGAGTGTGGCATGGGCATGGCAGGAGCACATATCAGTGATGAAATCGAGTTAGAATGGGAAACAGAATCTGGAAGGATAAAACCTGATACATGTATATAGTTAATAATGATTACAGATATTTTGTAAAATTTCCCAGATTCCAAATGTTTACATCTCCTGTAATCAATTACATGAGCCCCTGGTTTGCCATTCCACATCTTGCCTACTAAAAACTATCAATATGTTGCCAAATATTTAATTATTTATCAATATTTTTTTCATATTTATTATTTTTTTAATTTTAATTTTGTATGCTTTACAATGAGTATTTACATAGAAATTATTATTACATTCATATTTCAATGTTAGCCAGTATTGAATAAGGTTCTTTTTTATTTTGAAAGTTGGTATATGTTGAGGCATTTTGTCGGATGTTGAAAATATTATGTTAAATTTGTTATAACTATTTGACGCTTATCTACATGTAATAATTGGGGTATTGTGTTACTTTGGGATATAGATTATACATAAATAAAAGAGAGGAGAGAGAGAGAGAGAGACAGGGGTGGTTGAAATTAAGGACGAGAGAATCAGATAATGGGAGAGAATTGCAAAAAAAAGAAAACAAGAGAGAGCGAGAGTGTTTATAGGAGAAATTTAGGAAGAGAAAAGAGATCGAGAGCATGAGAGAGATATCGCAAAGAGAGAAAGAACCATTGCCCTGGGTGAACATAATTATCATGATCTTTATTTCACGATTATCTACATCTTTGTCATTCTTATATGCAGTCATCATCATGATCATCCACATGTACATTTTATCATCATCATCATCATCATCATCGTCGTTACCAACATTACTTATCAGCTTTATCACCACTGCAAGCCACATTTCTTTTAGCATTTATCGCAGGCTCATCATCACGATCCAATAATCTTTGCCATCATCACGATCAACCGCAGCTTCATTATCATTAATGATAATAATTTATGCTTAAGAGTATAGAATCTCATTAATTATTTTTTTCTTCGATATATTCGCCTCGTTCTTCATTTAATAATCTGGGCCCCAAGGAAGAACATTTGTTTTTAAATATTGTTGAGTGGCCTCTGTGTGACACCGCCTATAGTTTCAGCAAATATTAAACGACTACGAGGGTAATACCTCTAGGCTATAGACCTAGATCTAACAGTTAGTAGTATTAATGACTGCTTTATGAGAGAGTCGTTTTTATTTAAGATCGAGCTATTGCCCGAGTCTTGCAGTCATGGTTTTAGCCATTCCCGTAAATAAACAAAAAATGCCAAACCCATGTGATAGTTCGAGGGTAAAATTCCAGTTACCGGGGAAAAGAGTTCTTTCTTGCTGAAATACCCATTGGTTCAGTGTTAAAAACTGGTTTGAGCGATCGCGGATACCATACATACGTGTGCGAAGAATTGGTCGCTTAATTTACCAATTTTTAATAGCACAAGAAGGTTATGGCCATAGATTCATTTTCTTTGACAACGGTAAACAAATAAATGAGTACTGAATAAAGCAAAAGGAAAGGAAAGGAAAGGAAGGAAAAGAAAGAAAATGAGACGAAAGAAACGGTGTCGGGCCCTAGATATCGATATCGCTAGAGTCAGCTAGCCAGAAATTTGAATCTGGGCTAACTCGCCCCACGGGAAGGTTACAATCGAGCTATTGCCTTCAGCAAGCCTTGGGCAATAGCTCGATTTTAACCTCCCCTTGAGCGTATAAAAACAATATGTCTCTCAAAGCAGTCATTAATACTATATTATCTTTTCCTTCCAAGAAGTCTCCAAATGTGACTGCTTCTTCAAGTGACAAGGCAACCCATCTACAAACAATGCAGCAGAACACCAGTGTCACTTCAAAATCATATACAGGTGTCAACGAAGGTATGAATCTCCTTTCTTTTTTATCTTGAAATCTATACATTTATTGTCAATTGGTCATTGATTGGGATGAAATTGTGTTTTTCTTGTGCATCTTGGTGGGCTTAGATTCGAAGACACAATCAACAACCATTTTCTCTGCTGATGGCATTGTTAAGCATATTTTAAACCATTCTGTAGCATATTAAACATTAGAAATTGCTAGAAGACTGTATAGTTTGTTGGAATTAGTATGAATTGGGATTCAAGGGCTGCCCTCAATTTCTAACTATTTGCAATTTCAGGCAATTACCATTTTACAGGCATGCCTATGCTTACCCAATTACAATAACATTCATGTGTTAATGGGTACCCTGTTAGACATGTGTGCACCTGGGTGGGTGTGAGAAGTGATACAAATAATGTAAGTACTGTAACGGCCCTCCATCTTAGAACGGGTCCTGGATGCTGGAGGGCTGGCCTGTCCCTTGCCTCTATCAGCGTCATCTTGACGAAGAGTTTGCCATCCTGACTGATGCGAGTGGTTTCTATTAGGCTTGTAGTTTAGAGGCCCGGACGTGGCTCCATTTTCCCAAAGTATATAAGTGTGGAGATGAGAGGTGTTTTGGATAGTTGGACATGTATTCTCTATGAGATGGTTATATTAAGTCAGTCTATGGGGACTCAACAAATTACACGTTATGAAACCATGGATTGTTTAACTGTATGTGATTTCCATACTTTAATAACAAAGAAACATAAGTCAACTTCTCAAACACTTTATCATAATTAACACCGACACCGATTACCTGAAATAATCACTGGAGTAGTAAAACTCAGGGATTTCCTTTTGTAGGAACTCTCTTTCTCATTTCCAATCCTTTTCCTTATTTTTGCTCGGTTGGATCGAGCGGAGCGGACAGTTCCCTATCTGACCACGACGAGAGCCAGCGTCGAAGTGACAAAATCACCGTAAAACATCGCTATTTATAGTCTCCGAGAGCTGCTTTACGCATGGTGCGTCCGTAATCGCGCTCTGAGCTCTTATGCCACAAAAGCTTACTACGCCCTCTACGTTTTCTGCAAGATAACTAATTGTGGCGACCTGGTTCGTTACAGTACTGTAGCTGATGCATGTGCCTGGTTCAAAAATTTCAAAGTTCAAATAATGAAAAGTAAACAAATTCTTTCATTTTGTAAACATTTCAATGGTAGGTACGATGACGGACCTGACTTGGATTGAATTACTGAGAAAGCTAGTACAATCCAAGGATGCCTCCACTCAGTGGGAGCAGCAGCCACCTACTCACTCCACTCAGGCTGCTTCTACCTCTTCTACACAAGATCTTGATAAACCATCATGTGGTGATGACGGTGAATTAGAACAGGATGGTCTTGGTTGGTCTTCGCAGGACACCCCTGCAGTGCAAGAGGATGAGTTCATGGATTCCAGTGAACCTTCTGATTTGTACGTATTTTAGGAGTCGGTTTAATATCAATTGAACTAAGATATCAAACGTGAATGGTTGCAAAGTTAACCACAGACTCACTATTGTAAATCTCTGTGTATAAGACGCACTTTTTTGCCGCAACAAAAAAATTGAAAGTCGGGGTTGCGTCTTATACACATTACAAAACAAAAAAATAAGTTTTGATTTATGCCCCTCCACCTGGCACTCAATGGTGTCTAGAAGGTCCAGAAGGTAAAATGGGTCTCCTTGCATAATTTGGATACTAGGACACTGCTAATGTTTACATTTCACACTTATTCACAGATAGGACATACATGACATATTCATAATCCCTCCAAAATTCTACAGAATTTGATGTTGGCTGCAAAAGGGACATAGTATCTTTAACATGGGATATGGTTTTGTAATTTTACTGTTTAGACTGGATGCCAATATTGTGTCGCCAAGGTACACATTTGTTTTGTGGATAGCCCCCCCCCCCCCCCCCCCCCGCCTGATAATAGGTACCCTTTTCCGCAAAAATGACCCTTAAAATTGGGTACAGGTTTGGTGGCTTCCGAACGGCACAGCCGAGTCAGAACGGCAAATCTGCCAAATGCCCCGCCCCCCCTCAGCAATCTCTTTGATAAAAAGCTTAATTTTAATTGTTCATTCATCCCTGTGATCATTCCCAGAGCATTTATTTGATGAAAGGTTAGTTTGTTACGGGTAAGTTCTGCTAGTAATAATAATTCCTCCAATTTTTCTTCTATTACAACAGCGTACCACAAGGTTCTATCCTAGGTCCTCTACTGTTTTTAATTTACATTAATGATCTTACACATTCTTCTAAAAATGACATTGTTACCATTAGTTGTGACAAGTTCACAAGCACAAATTGGCGCCTTCAACTGCACCTCACAGTTAAATGAAAGTCCTTCCACACATTGGTTGTTTTTTTTCTCCTTGGCCCCCAAAATAGGGGTGCGTCTCATACATAGGTGCGTGTTATACAAAGAGATTTACGGTACTGTAGTGAGTCTGTGGATAACTTTGCAACCATTCAGGTTTGATATCTTAGTTCAATTGATATTATACACTGAGATTTACGGTACATAATCTTGAACAGTATTAGTTTCATTCTTTTTACCAAGACTTGAAACATAAACATTAAAAGATTGTACACGTTTGACACAAGATTTGATGGGTACATATAAGAAATGTGCTAGAATTGCATGTAATCTTTGAGGTATCTTACAAGCTTCTACTTCTTTATTTTCTTTGCAGACATATTGATTTGTCAACCATTGTAGCAGGGTATAGAGGCTTTGTGGAGGAAACCACTGTGGCTGAATCTCAGGTATTAGTTTGTACTGCTGAAAGATACATTGTAATGCACAATATGCGGGTAAACCGATGAAATGTATGAAAATTTATATTAATTCAATTAAATATCATATTGAGCACTCACTACTTTACTTTATTGCAAAATAAGCTGTCTAAATAAAAACCTGAATGGTTGGTTGTATCGGGAACAAGCATGAATTGAAATCATTTTCGAATCAAAATTTACTTGATCTTGATGAATATCACAAACAATTTACATGAATAAAAACATGGACAGATATGGGTACAGGGAACTACGAAAATACTATATGTGGCATCAGAATGTGGTCCAAGTTGTCAACTATTTCTAATCATATTTGAAATTGGGGATCATTTCAAGGGTCGCCTTTTTCATAGGATATAATTTCTAAGAATTTCTACTAACATAGTATGAAAAGAATTAAAAAAGAAAGAAATATCACAGCAATGCACAGCAGTGGGAGCCTTTTTATGTCGCTACAAAGTAGCCGGAGGCATTATGTTTTCGGGTTTTCCGTCCGTCCCTCCTTCCGTACGTCCCGTTCTCGTGATCGCATTATCTCAAGAACCGATTGATTGTTTCCCGCCAAACTTAAATCATGTAGGTATCTTAAACTGCCAATGAACTGATTAGATTTTGGGGTCACAAGGTCAAAGGTCAAGGGACTCGGGGCTTATTATGTATGCAAAAAATGGCTTGTGATCGCGTTATCTTAAGAACCAATAAAAGGATTACAGCCAAACTCAGGTCATGTATGTATCTTGCAGAGCCCATGAGCTGATTAGATTTTGGGGTCACGAGTTCGAAGGTCAAAGGTCACATGGCTGATTTTATATGCAAAAATAGCTTGTGATCGCATTATCTCAGGAACCGATTGATGGATTCCTACCAAACTTGGGTCATGTATGTATCTTGCAGAGCCAATGAACTGATTAGATTTTGGGGTCACAAGGTCAAAGATCACAGGGCTCATGTATCCACAAATAGCTTGCGATCGCATTATCATGAGAACCAATATACAGATTACTATCAAACTCAAGACATAATTAGGTTTTAGGGTCATCAGGTCAAAGGTCATGGGGCTCATTAAGGATGCCCATAACTAGCTTGTGCATGTATTATCATTAAAACCGACAGATGGATTACAATCAAACTTGAATTTTTAAAATTGTTTCTGTTTTGGTTTGTACAATTGCTCTATGGCGGAGGCATCATTTTCGACTGCGCGCAGTCGAAGTTCCATCTAGTTTTAAAATTAGACCTATCTGTTAACTTTGTACCATTTAGGAAGGAGAACAAAACAACACACCCATCCTTAGAAGAATCAAGGAAGAGATGATTGACGAGTTTGAAGAAGGAGATTACCAGACCCTATATGTGAAGGAAGAATACTTGGAAGATGAATGTCAAGATGATGATTATGCACATGTGCATTTGACACCAGGTAAAGCCTCTCATAAACACATGGTTGTACAATACATGCTCCTGCAGAACGTTCTCACACAAACTGAATGTCTGGCTAGACCCTAGAACCAGCACCATACAGAACAATAACTCTGAACCTAACCTAACCTAAAAACTTGCTAAAATCATGAATCTGACCCTACACCTGTGAGGCTGCGATGGATTAATGCCTGGAGCAAATGTTGAATTACTGACGTTGTAAACTGCCTTAAGAAAGATGCCATGGCAAAGTAAAGCCAATTAAGTTGTAAATCAATAGCAGGTGGATTGTATCAGAATAGCTGCTCTCTTCAGAGGCCCCTAAAAAGTGTACCGTAATTAAAAAAGCCAGGTCCATGTTAAAAACCCAAGCGGGAAGGCCTTTCATTTAACTGCGAGGTGCAGCTGAATGTGTAAGATCATTAATGTAAATTTAAAAACAGTAGAGGACCTAGGATAGAACCTTGTGGAACGCTGTGTAATAGAAGAAAAATTGGAGGAATTATTATTATAAACTACATATTGAGATCTATCAGAAAGATTTGCTTTCAAACCAAGATGACAGACAAATTTGAGTGTTGTTCTAGTTTCTGAGTGGTGAGTCACACACCGATTACTGAGCTGGGAGACATTGTCAGGCATAGCGCCAGGTGGAGGGGCATAAATCGAAACTAAAAAAAAATTTTCGGCGACAAAAAGTGCGGTTTATACACCGTTAATTACGGTACCTATCGGTACTTGTTTAATAGCTGTGTGGTATATGATACATTAATCTGAAATGCAACTATGTTTTTTATTTTACCAAAGCAGTTTTATGCGGCAGTTTACCATGTTATACTGGATGTGAATGATACTAAATGGAACCACCACAGTTGAGTCATGAACTCATCACAGCAATAATGATGTTAGTTGTAGTTTCTTTTCTTATAAATGTACACGGTGTGTATATATTTTTTTCATGACAATTTATCCCTGTTGTTGTAGTCTAGTTGGTTGATTTCTAGCTTTTAGCTAGAAGTTTGTTGAATTTGACAATCTGCTTCTGTCGGGTTGACTGGAAAGTTTTTCCAGCTGTAGAGGTGTTGAAGGCCTGGCATTTCCAAAGATCAGCCGGTTAGCGAGAGCACCATATGTTTGTATCACACAAAAACAAAGTCATACAATATTATTATTATCTTTATTAGTCTGACTAGCGAATTAACCAAATTTGACTTACCTCGGTAAATATGGCTTTGTTTTCGTGTGATATCGATATGATATCAATATCAATAGTTGAAGTTCCCGGATGACTGGGCAATAGGAAAATAATATTGGTCGGTCATCCGGGTACTGCCCTAAAGATATTGAATATACTGATCTATTGTACCACTTGGAAGCCTTATATAGATAATAATCGTGAATAGTCTGCAAGCAGTATCATACAGTGCCGCCTCGAGCTCATGCCTCTGTGTGCGTGTTCATGCCAGGCCTGGCTTGTTTACGTAATTTTGTATCAATACGCATGCGCGAGTCTGTGAGATGGCCGTGTAAGTCGCGTTTCTCGTAGGATAGCTGCTTTCAATTTCTGTAAAACACCCCATTCATTTTCCATTGTAGCTCCGAAAGTAAGTCATGAGCACAGCAAAATTTAGGCACCAGCTCCGTAAAGGTCTTATGATTATGCATATTAAATGTCATGAATATGTAGCCATGCGTCCAGATATGTCTGGAAATAATCTGAGGGTAGTTTTCGGAGTCAACTGAACATGAAATGTTTGATAAAATGAGAAATAGATCATCATTTAATACAATTGTACTTCGATATGACCATTTTACTTAAACCTCATTGTTTGAACAAAATCTGCTGACAAACAAAGGAGATATGAGGGGGAAATTTGGTGAAAAAGTGAGTTTGGCGACGTGGGTGCTATGATGACCATTGAATATCCAAAACAATTTCAGTGTTATCAGCAAGTTAATTGCCTTGCACCACACCACCTGCGTAATCTCTGATTTTTTAATTTCTTATCTTTTTTTTTATTTCCAAAGGAGGCAGAAATGGCTGAAGCGACTATCCCTAGAGTTGAACTTCTTGATGATGATCAATCACAAGACTTGATTGATTCTGAGTGCAGCAAGAACACTAAAAATTCTGTGAAATTCTCTTGTTAGAATTTTCAAAGACTACAAGAAAATTATCAACACAGACCTCGATAGTGTAAACCAACTGCCAAATTCGGAGCTGGACAAGGTACTCCAAAGGTTCTACGCTGGTGCTAGACGGAAGAACGGTTCACTATACACCAAAAAGTCAATGTTATCTATTAGATACGGACTTCAGCGTTTTTTCCTCATTTCTAAAAATGTGGACATTGTTAAGCATGAAGACTTTACAAATTCGAAGACACTTTTCAAGCAATTTTTTTTGTTTAAAGGACACAGAGTTGGGAATCACAAACCAACTATCTCACAAGAAGACATGGACAAAATCCAAGGTTCGCTTGATTTGGATGATCCTCAAGGTCTTCAGGACAAGGTCTTTCTTGATGTTATGTTGTACTTTTGCAACCCTGGGAGGGTGAATTTGCGTGAAATGACACTCGACAGCTTTGACATTTGTGATGAAGGGGGAAAATGCTCCGTAACTCTGAAAGATACACTCACTAAAAACAACCGTGTAGGCCTAGATCTAGGTCTTGATAAACTAGAGAAAAGCCAAGTTGGTGTCATGACTCCAACAAATGGTCCACGATGTCCTGTTGCCTCCTTCTTACGCTACAAAGATAAATTGAACCCCCAATGTAAGTGGTTTTGGCAGAAACCGGCAAATGCACAGACCAAGCGTGAGTTCAAATTAAATCCATCTTCTGATCAACAATGGTACTGTAATGCACCCCTAGGGAAAAACACCATCGGAGACAAGATGAAAACAATTTCATCCCGTGCAGGTACCAAGGCTTACACTAACCTGTACCTAAGGGCAACCAGCATCAGTACCCTACAAAATGCAAGGTTCTGAGATAGGGAGATCATGAGTGTGTATGGACATCGCTCAGAAAGCAGTCTCGGGCACTATGCATTGACCAGCAGTGAAACAAAAGAGAACACAAGTTGTGCTATCGCGGCAGATGTTGATTCGAAATCAGTACCTTGTCATGGACATCCACTGGTGGCACTGTTAGTGAGCGTAGTGAAAGCCAGGAACTCTGAGAACTAAATGAAATAGTAAATGAGATCACAAATAACCCACAGATTTTCCTACAGTACGTACATGCAACATCACTGCAAGTCGCTATTCCCATGTTTCAAGCCAGCAAGCCGAAGCTCCTACATCAGGCCTGATAAAAACCCGATTTTTTTTATTTTTCCCGATTTTTTCCTGATTTTTTTCTTCTTCCCTCTTTTATCCTGATTTTACTGATTTCCTCGTTATTTTCTCTAATCTTCCCTATTTTGCTCTATTTTTTTCCCTTTTTTTTATCTCGAAAGGGGGGAATGTTGTTAGATGCCATTTTTTCCCCGCGAATCCTCTTCTCTTTTTTTACTCAAGGGGGGCGTGGTTGAAGGGAAAACAAAAAACCTTTTTTTTTTTTTTAGTGCTCACTATCACCCCTGCTACATTCATTAGAAGTACGGGTATGTGACAATGCTTAATGGTATTCAGAATCTCACTTCTTTACCAATACCATAATAGTTTACAAAATACACCAGTTTGTACATAATTTATTTATGTTTAATATCTGTGGTACTTACTGTCCAAGTATGAAGGGGGTGGTCGAAATCTTGAGAAAATATTTAGCGGCAAATAAGCGGGGAGCACCCATTTTTAAAATTTATTTTTTGCCTAATTCCTGATATTTTTTTTCTTTTTCCAAATCGTGACTAAATATTAAGCGGCTAATCAGCCATCCAGTAAATAAATAAGGGGGGGGGGGGGGGTAACAAGCACTACATTTTTAATTAATGGGTTGGGGGGGGGGGGGCATTTTCATTTCATGTTTAAAAAAGGTACAGTTAACGTTACCATTTTTATTTTGGGTAAGGGGAAGGGGCCCGATCCCATTAAATTTGAATTCACTTTATCGATTGAAATCAAAACATAAAGGAGTATTATCAATTTTCAATTGAGATTTAATATAATTAAATATTATTGTTGAAAGTTATTAAAATTACTGTGACAAAAGTGAAAAAAAACAAAAAAGGAATTCATTAATGTAGGATATGTTTATCAGTGGCAGATCCAGGATTATTAAAGAAGAAAGGGGTGTAAATGTGCAACAGTTATCCATTTATGCCTCTTCCTCCCCCACCTGGCTCTGCCTCTATGTGTCTGTTCCTTGGCATTGTTCAGCCCTATTTTGATTGTTTTCTTGTAATCATCATTGTTGTACATTGTTGTACTCGTACACCTTTTCATTCTAGAGTTTACCTACCTGTAGGAGATGAAAGTAAAATGATTACTTTGTATCTTCCCCTGGAATATACACAGGGAGATACAATTGAAATTAAAGTATGGAATCAACAATTAGGCCCTAACCCTAAATGTTAGTAAAATGTTGTAAAGTTCTCTGATTCCGGTTGTATCTACCTCTTCTTGTGAGCTTACCTGTAAACTTATTGCATTTAATGGTTACTACAAGGTGTAAACACTGAACCCTTTATTAATTTGTAATACAAATTAATATGTTTTAAATTGCGTTGTTAAAAAAGAGACTTTTGATGATCTTGTTATAGTCAGCATGTCACACATAACACAGTATTGGTTAGAGGAGTGTGGCATGGGCATGGCAGGAGCACATATCATGATGTAATCGAGTTAGAATGGGAAACAGAATCTGGAAGGATAAAACCTGATACATGTATATAGTTAATAATGATTACGGATATTTTGTAAAATTTCCCAGATTCCAAATGTTTACATCTCCTGTAATCAATTACATGAGCCCCTGGTTTGCCATTCCACATCTTGCCTACTAAAAACTATCAATATGTTGCCAAATATTTAATCATTTATCAATATTTTTTTCATATTTATTATTTTTTTAATTTTAATTTTGTACGCTTTACAATGAGTATTTACATAGAAATTATTATTACATTCATATTTCAATGTTAGCCAGTATTGAATAAGGTGCATTTTTATTTCAAAAGTTGGTATATGTTGAGGCATTTTGTCGGATGTTGAAAATATATGTTAAATTTGTTTTAACTATTTGACGCTTATCTACATGTAATAATTGGGTATTGTGTTACTTTGGGATATAGATTATACATAATCAAAGAGAGGAGAGAGAGAGAGAGAGAGAGA